CCGTTGCCGGGACTGGGTGTGGCATGGCGGCTGCAAGGCCTGCCGGGGCCCTGGCTATGGTGCTGCGGCGTCTGGCCGCGGCTGACATGAACTAGGCCCGCATGGGCGTGACCTGGGCGCTGCCGGGCGCTATATGCGTCGGCTGTCGCATGACTGGGCACGATTGGGCGTTAACACACACCGCGACGTGCTGCTGAACGCACGAGTACGCCCCAGGAGCTGGCTAACATGATTGGGTACCGCACAACCGCTACCGTGCGACTCCCACGGTACTGGCTACTCGGGCAAGCTGTGGGGCGCTGTCGAGGCCATCCGATGCGCGCTGGCGTGCGTTACCGCACACTGGCGTGCATGACTGGACGTTGGCGTGCACCCATGCACCGCCAACTACTACCCTTTGCGGGTAGTGATCATGCGCGACGCCTACACCGCATACACGCACATCACCCGCACCGCGTGCTCTATTGCCGGTGCACTGCGGCCGCTACGTGCGGGCAGTGAAATCACAACCGACCCTTGTCGGCCGTCCGACGACTTTCTCCGGCAACATCAACATGATTCAACATAATATAACATGACATGATCCTATATGCTGATCTTCTCAAAATTAACAAACTTTGCTCGATGGACTAACGAAGTGTCGAGGCACGCACACCGTGCGCACATGATCGGCGTTAAGCAAATCCCTCGACTAAACATGAAATTCTTTCGACGACTTGACTTAACTGACTATAAAATGACCTAAAATGGTCAATTAAACATGAATCGCCCCGAACAAACATAATCACAACGAAAGATAATATGACACGGCACGTGATGGCCCGTGGGCATGCGCTACGTGCGCAACTCACTTCCTTAGGCCAAATTACAGATAAGATAACAACTTGCTTTGACCTATCTTTCTGGACTGAACATATAATGACATGACATGATCAAATAAACATGAATTGCTCGGGAGTTGGGGGTAAAACGAACTTTACTCGATCACGACCTAATATGGCCTAAAACGAACACATCTTGGCATTTTTATGCATTTCTTGATATAAACTGAACATGACGACTCTGACCTGATCATATTAACATAAAGAGATGTTAAAGATGATGTTACCTTTGCAATGGTTCGGCTAATTGAGCAAGACGTGCGTGACTACTCCCTTCCGAGAGCGTGTGTGTAAAAATATGACTTAAACTCACTTAACTGCTAATTATATGCTAACTCTTTCTTTTATTATGCTGAAGGCTCATATTTGTGCGTGGGGTAAAATATGCCCAAACTTTCCCTTAAATAAATGGACGGACAATGGTGAAATTGGGAGATGAAACTTCGGCCAATAGTATTGCTCCACTTGCGGAGCTCCTAAGACTTGAGGTGTAACATTTACATGCTTAGTCACCCCTTAAATTTAAGGAAAATCAGCCACATATACTATCATACATGATGGTACTTCACGTGGGTATTGTCCAATTGCTTACGGCAATTTGGACTTCCTAAGCATGTTTATGCACTAAATAATTGTGCTTGGCACTAAGCTAACCATCGCCGCACTAATGATGTGAATTGAGTGTGCTTGGACAGCATAACTCATGCTTATACGTGGCTAATATACTATAAACATAATTATTTGCTAATACATGATATTAGAGCACACTAAGACATGATTCAGCTTGGTAAAATATTTATCGAGCGATTAGACATGAATTAATTATCGGAAAATTATTCCGAACATAACGTGATATTCGAAAATTAATTCGAACAATCTTAACTGAATTAAATAGTTCCGAACGATAACGCTTAATAAAATATCCATTTCGGAACTAGACATGATATTACATTAATAAACATGACAGGATATTACATTTCGTTTGGCTTTCTTCTGTTCGATTGGGCGAGTCACTTCATGAATTTCATCTATGTCAATGCTTGCATCTCCATTTGATGAAGTATTGCTGGCACCAGACTCATCAATTCTCGTCTTTTTTCTCTCAAAAAAAGTATCATTAGAAGATTGTAGAGTGTACGTAGGACGATCTTTAAGGATTCTCCATAGATGCTTAAGATTGAAGGTGATGGGTCTCCTCCTAGATCTGGAGTAAACCGGATGAGATGTGCTCCGATATGTTTGAACCGCCTTTAAACTGCCTCAAGACCGTGGCAAACACCTGCAAGAACCCAGCGCCAGAAGTGTTTCCGGCGTAGAGCCTCCGACGCTCAAGTTAGTTACAAGAGAGAAGAAGAAGAGCCGATGGATAGTAGCAGTAAGAGATATGAAATGAATACAGAGAGTAGAAGTTAGGATTTGGTGTTACCTCTTGTCTTTTTATAGAAGGAAATACCTATGTTGGAGTATCCAAAATGCATCTGGTCGACCGGCCTATTTGTCTGGTTTATTTGTGTCATAATCACCTCTTAGTCAGACATAAGTCAGCTTAAGATTCTATCTTATCCAATAAAGATTCTTACTTACCTAACGAGTAAAACCTG